CTATCATTCTTAGAGTGCACCTTAGACTTGGTTAATCCTTAGTAATGACACAGAATTACATACCACCCCTCCTTCCTCCACATACCACCCTCCTTCCCTCCACACACCACCCCTCCTCCTCCACATACCACCTCCCTTCCTCCACATACCACCTCTCTTCCTCCACATACCACCGCTCCCCTCCACATACCACCGCTCTTCCTCCACATACCCCCGCCCTCCCTCCACATACCACCACTCTTCCTCCACATATCACCCCTCCCTCCCTCCAAATACCACCACCTCTCCTCCTTCCCTCATACCATCCCTCCCTCCTCCACATATCATCCCTCCCTCCACACATCATCCCTCCCTCCCCTCCACATACCACTTCTCCCTACCTCCACATACTCACCCTCCCTCCACATACTCCCCCTCCCCCGTCCCCTCCACCCACCACCCCTCCACATACCACCTCCCCACATACCACCCTCCTTCCCTCCATCTACATACCACCTCCTCCCTCCAGTCCACATACCACCCCTCTCCCTCCCTCCCTCCACATACCACCTCTCTCTCCCTCCCTCCACATACCATCTCTTTCCTCCCTCCACATACCAATCTCTTTCCCTCCCTCCACATACCAACTCTCCCTTCTCCCTTCCATACCACCCCTCCCTCCTTCTCCCTACCACCTCTCCCTCCCTCCCTCGACTACCACCTCTCCCTCCCTCCACATACCACCCCTCCCTCCCCCACTTACCACCTCTCCATCCCTCCACATACCACCCCTCCCTCTCTCCCTCCACAAATCACCGCTTCCTCCCTCCACATACCACCCCTCCCTCCCTCCCTCCACATACCAACACTCCCTCCCTCCACAGTGATGACCTGACCACCGTAGGGTCAAGACCTATTTAGGCGCTGCTCCTGCTGAGCAGCTCTCACCCTTGGCCAATGTTCGGCCCATTCCCCAAGTCCCTCTCCCCGACCCATCCTCACCACCGGGATATCAACATAATCAAAAGTGACATTTCGTTTCGGAAAGAAGTGGAACCAGTGTTGAACAGTTAAGAACAGTGTTTAAGCCAGTGAATTCAGTACTAGACAGTACCAGTGAGAGCCGTGACCCGCCAGTGAGATAAGCACCGCTGGGTACTGACCGCCATCTCCTGACAAGGAGGTGCTAATCAGTCCACTCTGAGAACAACAGTGGGTCGGCTTCACACTTGACTTCGAAATAACACAACACCACCCAGTAGGGTGGTGATAGGTCAACAACTGCAAATATGTTGCCTGTATAACAAGTGAACTACCGTGTGTTGAGCACTGTGTCGTGTGTAGGTGTAGGTGCCCGCGAGGCAAGGCCTATACCCTTGTGGTCACGCTCGGCCATGTGGTGAGGGTTTGTTTACACAAACCCCCGTCCTCATAGTGTGCCAAGCTGGTTAGTTCTTTTGAAACTAAAATTGACTTTGATACTGTATCTAACCAGAAAAACAGACATGCTATTAAGAACAAGTGTAGTGTAATAAAAGTGTTTATAAACTGAGAAAACTCCTGTTACCTTAGTCCCCCCGACACCACACTCCCTCCGCGGGAGGCCCGCTCATGGCCTCCCCTCACACCGCTAATACGCTGTACAGTAGATGCCAATCTCCTTTGTCCTCTAAGAGGGTTACGCCTCCCAACCACCGCTGACTTCCTAGGAGTGCCAAGCAGTCCTCGGCCCTCTGACGTAGGCATATAAGTCGAGCCCTGTAACTCCACCATGTCTGAGTTGACTGGAGACCCAGCTGCTCGCTTTAACTCTCCTGATGCACTGAGTGAGCCAGGCGACTGTGGTGTTGACCTTGACACCAACGGAGAAGATGGCTTTCAACTAGTTCAGTCCAGGAACAAGCGGAAGGCCGAAAAGGCAGAAAGACTTAGAGACAATCAACTACAACCACAAACCCCCATGAGAGTAAGATTATACTTCCCTGAAGGTACATCACCTGAAGACAAGTATCTCTGGCTGAACGATGCGGAAGACAAATATCCTGAGGCTGAGTTTCAGTTCAGAGTCGGTACACAAGATCATGTTCTGATTAGAAACGACCCAGCAGTCATACAGGATCTCCTCACCAATAGCATAAGGGGAATAACCATGGAACAATCATCCCAACCATCGAGCAAGAAAACCATAATAATCATAGGGCTCGACCAGTACCAGACCCCTACACTACTAGAAGCCCATCCCTACATCAGAAGGACGAAGCGACTCAGGGGCAAGAATGCAGTCATTGCAGACTGGGTTGGCTCGGAAGACCCACCCAAGACCATTCGAGTCCGTGGTGCCTATCGGACTCTGAAGGTAACACTCTATCAGCCCCCTAACCGGAGGTTCGAGCTGCGCTCATTGTATACTGTATACCACCACCTTGGCCAGACAAAGCAGCGTTACTCGGACGAGGATAGAGTATAGCATAGTGCAGCCTTGAACACAGAGTTTCTACTGACAGGTAGACAAACGCCGCTCTTAGTTACCACTCACTCGCTTGATGGAGATTTTATTATTTTTAGTCAATTATTTGGCGTGGTAAGAACTAGTTTGGTTATAAAGTAAGGATATATAATTCATCGAAATAGTGAAATAACACATCTATAACTGTAAGGTGCGATTGTCGTTTTTAAGATGGTAAAGTATTTCCTGGAATTCCCGTACAGATATCGGTAAATAAAACCATTATACACATACACATACTCATATTCAAAACAATACCGTATTTACTGATATGCCAGAAAGATGTGGACTTTATTTATTGATGCCCCGTCATAGTTACTTGATATTTTGTGTAATATACAAGTAAAGTGCGTTGCCGTTATGAAAGTTCGTATCAAACAGCATATGTTCAAGAAATATTGCTAACTAGCTCCAAGGATTCTGAGACCTTGCTCGATGTAAGGAAGTTGGTTTAGAGGCTGTGAGGAAATCTGCGTCATTGCCAGTGCATCGTGGACTCATGGTTCCAACATTTAACACTTACAGTATTGGCGTTTATTATTTTTGTTTTCTTTTATTTAAAATTTTACAACTTACATATACAGGTATACATAAATATTACATATTAGGCGTTTTAGATGCACGGAATAACTAACGATAGCTATTCGGTGTATCTAAAACGCCTTATTGGCCGAGTTCACGAAGTTCAATATTATTTTACAGACAACTTAAAAGTTTTTTTTACTACCATAGTTGTTCAGCATTTTAGTTGATTTTCTTACGTCGAGAGTATAATGAGGATAATTCAAATTGCGTTGGCATATTGTCTTGGATGTTTCAAGTTATATTTTTTAGAACACTGTGGGGTATGAGATGTTTGGTTCACACTCAGGATGGGATGGAGAAAGGAAACTCACAATGTGCTCTCTATATACATGTTGTATTGGATGTACAGTGCAGCTTGGTGCTGGGAAGGCAGCGTGGTTACAAGCGTGATGTAGAGAGAGCTGGTTGGTGAGGATGCTCAGAGGAGGACCAGCTTGTGGGTCGCCATGCTCGCCAGCGGGAGAGAGGACCGCCAGGCAGGCGGAGGAGCGAGGACCGCCAGGCAGGCGGAGGTGTTGCTGGCTGGTTGGTGTAGGTAGAAAGAGCCAGGTCACCACGAGGTCAGGTCTTAAATAGCGGGGGGTAGGAGTGGCTTAGTAGTTGACCCCCGCTCCGTGATGTATGGCGGCGCTGGTTGACCTAGACCACGAGGCATACACTGGGGAATTAGTGGGGTCGACTACTCAGCGACAAACAACGTTTGTAGGGGAGAAATCCACTACAACACTACATTTATTTCAGTTATATTTATTACGTTTGATATAATCATTTAATATATCTTGAAAATTTCCATTAGACTCTGATTTCCTCTTTTCTATCATATTGTTGACATTCCACCATTACGTGCTTTACATTCACGTTATTATTGTAACAGTTGCACACTGGCCAGGTGTCAAATGACAGTGGCCTGTTTTTAACCTGGTTAAACAGTTCCATACGGTTAACTGTTATTCAGTTAGGTAGATGACAGTCAGACAGAAAAATGCATTAGTTATATGTCCTGTAATTCAAGCACCTCCTTATAGTTTCACTCATGGCTCGCCGGAAATAATTTTAATTTCTTGTTAATGGTAAGTATGTGGGGTTATGAGATATTGGTTCACACTCAGGATGGGATGGAGAAAGGAAACTCACAATGTGCTCACTGTATACATATTGTATTGGATGTACAATGCAGCTTGTTGCTGGGTAGGTAGCATGGTAATAAGTGTTGATTAGAGAGCTGGGTGGTGAAGGTGCCCAGAGTGAGGGCACGCGGCTTGAGGGACAGCAGTTTCCAAAGTGGGGTTCTTGGGACCCCAGGGGGTGCCTTTTGGATCTACAGACCTCTGAGAGTAGTTAATGTTTTGGCATGCATCAAATGGTAGAGTTGCAACTCAAGTTGGCAATGCAAGCCGATCTCCGACGTGCTACGTTTTGAGTACAATATTATATTGCAAGTTTCGCAGGTGTCCTACATATTGTTTGAGTAGAGGTCCGCGGCTCCTCAAAAAAGACTAGGGTTGACTGATTATATGAAGTTATGAACTTTGGGAACCACTGCTGGTCCACGAATATCCAACAGCTGCATTGTTTGCAACTTTTTGTGAAGTGATGCAGAATTCCTCCCAAAATCATCTTTGTTATATGTAATTCTACTTCCCTGGTAATAACATATATATTTTCTTTTATTACCGGCGGTGATGTAATATTTCACCTTGTGATAACTATTTTTTTATTATTATTGTTGTCATACGGACAATACATACGACACAGTTTCTTGTGTTTGTCGGTAGTTTGTGAATGTTGGTGTAATATTTACTGTAAGCAAAATAATTGTTATATTTTATATAATAAATAAATTAATTTAGTTAAGAATTTATTTTATATGGGAATTTTATTATTAAAATATGAATTTGTTAAAGAGTTGCTCTTTGTTTTAATATTGCAGCAGGTGAAGAAACAGTGTCTTGTGGAGTTGATCATCCAGTGTTGATGAGTGAGTGGAGGAGCAGCTGTGTGTCACACCTCTTACTTTACTTCAAACTTTTCTTCATCAAGTTATTATGAGCACCACTGGAGCAATTCCCAAGGGTGGAGCAAGGCCAAAATGTAATGTAAGAAGAGAAAGTGACACTTTTGAGAAACTAAAGGTTCGTATTAACAAATGTGAGACGTACAGTATGTAGGGTACAGATGTAGATGTGTACCGTACAAGTTATGTACAGGAATAATGATACCGGTGATGTGGGAAAAGTGAATAGTGGTAAAAACGTTTAATTTACACTAACATTGTAAATGATATACAAAATGTTCACAGCTTCAGTACAACCACAATAGATACATGTACCAGGGATGTTAACCCTCATTCACATCGCCTATATTGCATTACATAATATTTATTCATTAAATTATCAAATATGTTTACAGTTGGTTTGGCATGTATATAGCATATGCAGATATTCAGTTTAACATGTATATAGACAACACAGGTATACGGTGTATATAGGTCATAGGGGTATATACTGTATACAGTTTGCAATGTACCTAAACAATGCAGGGATACAGCAGTAATAACAGGAAGATTATTTAATTTACTTATCCTCTTTGCCACTTGTTGGCTTGTTAGCCGCGTGGGCAGTTGGTCACATCTCTGTTACACTGTTGGCAAGTACTGGGCATGTACTGGCTCCAGAATGTATCTGTGGACCAAGGATAGCCAACAAAGCCATCAGAGGGTTATTTCTAGTTGGGTCCTTTGCTTAATCTTGGTAATCAGTAATAGAGTATTATAGGAGTAAAAGTGAAAGTTTATTGATGAATATAACAAGCATTATATAGATTGCAGTTGGATTATCTGAGGCTGATGGATCACTTTAACAATACAACATTTTGTTCAACAGTGGTTAAAGTGCCACATCCTCACAACATATCTCAGTCAGGTAGATTACAACATACTGTACAACACTAGGCCATTCATGACTGGAGATACCATGAATCACCCAATTCTCACCCAAAAATCGGAGGTTAATTTTCGACACCAAACGACCAAAGATCCTGAAGTAACAGATGATGATCCACCATGTCAGAAGCTGCAGAGAGATCCAGCAAGACCAGCAAGGAGGACTTTTATGTACAAGTGTTTATTACCAAATCGTTATGAAATTTATGTAAAGCAGTTTCAGTTGAATGATGCTTGCTATAGGCTGACTGGACCAGAGGAAGTAACTGATCCAGCATAGCACGCTCTATGATCTTTGATAAGAATGAGAGATTGGAGACTGGACAATAATTTGACATATTTTCAGTATCAAGACCAGGTTTCTCAAAAAATTACTTAATAAAATATGTTACTCAAATCGCAAACAAAAATTGTCTTCTGCAAAACATTTATTTATGATTCTACAAATAATGTCGGCAGCATGTTCATAAGTGAGTGGTACCTTAGATACATTTAGAGCCTTTTTCAAAATGACAGAAATTCTTCTTTTTGAGTCCTTGCTATAGCACAATGTTGTTCACCCCTACAGGAGAAAAACTATGAAAGAGTGATGTTTATGGCATAGCTTGGTTGAAATTTAACAGAAAATTCAATAATTAAAGAATTACTATCAAGGCTATTTCTTATACATGATATCTTTGTAATAAAAAAACACGGAAAAATCTGTCCCAGGATCAATGACATATAGACAGAAGCATCATCCAGCATTCACATAGCTGATTTTTAATTTGAATGAACATTTCATGCACTGAGATAAAACAAGTGGAGCCTGGTCAACAAAACTTACCATAGGTTAGTTTAACTAGGTTAGGTTTAGTAAATTTGGAAGTAAATTTTGGACATGTACTGCATTCCTCATTGTGGTGCTGGGTAGAGCCTCTGCCTTAAAAGGTATCTCAAATATCTTCCAATAACTTAAGATCATCAATCTGGAACCTGTGAGAGTCTGCTAACTAGCTACTCTCTGACAAAGCCAGCCATTAGCAGGGACCTGAACTGTGTAATTATTGTAGAGCAAGTCTGGTTCTGGTGGGAGAGGAGCCACTTTGCAGTAATTACACTGGACAGTGTAACTAATCTCAGCCAAAGGGAGTAGCACAGTAGTTGGTGGCATCTCTCAGGTCTATCATCTCAGCTGTTAAATTAGACCTCAATCTTTAATCTACCATTTCTATTAAAGTAACTTTCAAGTCATATCAGTAATATTGTCTTTTATTTCAGGAGGATAGTGAAGTAATCGGAGAACCTCTTGATAAGAAGTTTTTAACATTTCGTGAAAAAGGCTTTGACAAACGAGTACCAGCACTGGTAAGTAGTGAGCGCATGGTGTTATTAGAAGGTAATATTGTACACAGTGAGTCAATCTTCTTCATCTAAGTACAGTACAGCACATTATTGTATAAGTACTATATTATCTTTCCCTCTTATCCCTTTTGCCTAGTTTCAAGAATTTTGATGGAGTACAGAGCTATGTATGTAGCTTTGTCCTTAAGTGTTTAAGTAGTAAAGGAGGAATAAGTACAGCACTAGAAGGTCTGCAGGTCCTCTCCCAGCAACATTGTACAGACCACAGACTTTATGATGCAGTATATTTGTGAGCAGAAAATTCCCATTCCTTTACCACATAGAAAATATCAGTGTTTGTACTTTTTGATAAGAAGCACAAGTTATGTAAACTTAATATTTCTTCAGGTAATTGGAAAAACAAATGGTTCAGCTTGAAAAGGTAGAGAAACTTAGCCCACAGCCTCTTCAAAATTAAAAAGCTGTACATATACAATTTTGAATGCATCTGTATATGCTGTACAGTCGGCCCTTCACATACGCGGGTTTAGCATTCACGGGTTCGCAAATACGTGGATTGCCCCGCCGGAGGAATATTCTGTACATTGAAGTAATTGAAGTACATTCAAATCGCGCGGCACCGAACACTGCACACCGCCCGCACCCGCTACCTCACACACACACACACACTCATAGCGCGTCGTCACCCCACCGCGCTCCCTCACTCAGTCAGTCTCGTTGTAACCACGCTTGTGTTGACATCAGCATTGTAGTTGCAAAAATATTACATTTCCATGAATGTATTATATCAGGCACAGTGTGAATAGAATATCACTAATATAACAGTATTTTAACCGAAAACTATTAAAAACACGAGTAACATATCTTGAACATCGGAAGGTTAGGTAAAGTCTTTTGTTTTCATGTAGTTTATCCTAATTTACATTGAAATACATTACATTTCAGCAAAACTACTATTTATTTCTGAGCAGATGGAAATGTAATATTTTTGCTGAAATGACGTACGTATTACAGTGGAAAGTGACGAAAGCAATGACTTTTGCTTTCATTTGTTCAAAAGATGTTACCGTAATTGCTTTTCGAATGGTTTTCGGTTAAAAAACTGTTGTATTACAATAATATTCTATCCTAATTCACTTGTGATGCAACAGTTTTTTCACTGAAAACCATTCGAAAAGCGATTACGGTAAAATCTTTTGAACAACGAAAGAAAGCGAAAGTCATTGTTTTCGTCATGATTTTATCCCACTTTCCACTGTAATATGCATGTCATTTCAGCCAAAATATTACATTTCCATATTTATTTCTGAGAATATATTCATTCAGTCACAGTTAAGGTAAAATATACTTGTGATGTAATATTTTAATGAAAATACGGTATCATAGTTTTCTTTTGTTTCAAATTTAATTAACAAAGATTGATGTTGTAAATGTAATGAACAAAAATTTATGTACAGTATCTGTAAATAAACTTTAAAAAATTAATACTTTATGTTTTACATCGTCCTGTGCATACCATACCATGCATTTGGCTACTTTGGGCTTGCTATGATGACGCAAGAGATTTGCCCTGGCAACTGTACCGACACTCACAACTGGTGGTGCGTTGGTGCGTCGTTTCCATTGTTTACTGGTAGTTACTGGTAAATATTTTTCAACCTAACGAAACTATTACCCTTTTAGAGGTCGACCCCCAATTTTTTCCAAATAATTTGGTCTTAAAAACTCGAACTACACACAGGTATATACGGTAAATAAGGACATGGGGGGGCCAGGGATTTTTGGGGGGGGGGGGGCAGCAATAGTACACGGATTTTTAACATTCACGGGTATCTCTGTTACCTAACCCCCGCGTATGTTAAGGGCCGACTGTGTGTATATTTCATGTAGATGCACAATGGAAATGTGGAGAATAAAAATCTTCATAAAAGCAAACAGGAAAGGGGAACTCTATTGATTCCATTTTCCTGTGTGATTTTATCAAGATGGAAGCAAGAGTAAAAACAGAATATGGGGTATATCTTCATTCTGTCATTCTATTCTTACATACAGTTGAAAGAAATATATCTTTCTTCCTGGCTTATCCCTGTCACTTCTCACAGCCTAACACCACCCATCAATAGCAAGCTCATCCAAAAAATAACTTGTAATACCCCACATTCCTGTATATTTCTCACTTCTAGTGCACATTCTTTACCCCATCCTTCCATCTGCTTCTTGATCTTCCTCTCGTACTATACACATCTGAGTTATGTACAGGATTATATATACTGTACTGTATTCTTTTTTACCAGTTACAAAATGGACCATTCCTTAGGTACAGTACCCAGAGTCTTTGCTTGACTGTGGTCTGCAATCCCATTTTAGTTTTAAGATTTGTTTCTGTGATTATAAACCGTAGGACATAACAATAAAGATTGGGGTTGAAGAAAGAAAAAAAAGTAAGTAAGGGGAGTCAGAGAAACAAGGAGGCATTGGGAGATAGATAAATACTGGAGTGGGAAAGGCAATGGCATTCTTATCATATTTTACACCTGATTCTCTCATAAAGCTGACTGGAATCTTTAATTACTGTATATTTCCTTGTTGTTTTTTTTTATGGGGGGGGTGGAAGAGATTTCTCATCCATGTTTATAATTCCTGATATTTATTTGTTTATGTTTTAACAGCACATAGCCTGGGCCCACAGGGGTACCTATATCAAATATATTCCACCTCCTCTGCCTGAAGAAGATGGATCCTTTCTTCCTGGTGCTATTGAGTCATGGTTAGAACAGATGGAATTTTTAGAACAAGATCTACGAAATATGCTTAATTTACCTCATCACAAGTGAGTTATAATTATGTGAGGTTCTCTTTTTAATACAATTTAAAATCGTGATCACACATACCTCAGTAGCTAATTCCATATTCATGCATCCATGATTCCCTTTTCTAGGAATGAGGGAAAAACTATAGGCTTGTTATCATGCTTTAAGTTTTAAATCTTTCTAATAATCAAACTTAATTCATCTTCTGACCTCAACAGGTTTTGGTCTCAGATGGTGTTTGACCCTGCCATCCATGAGTGTTTAGAGTCATACATTGCCAACAGCTACAGGTGGTATGAAGGGATAGTGCCAAATGACCACTGTACACCTGTCGTTGAGTCTGTTCATCAGTTGATGTTCTTAATATATGTCCGTATGTCAACTTACAAAGAATCTAAGGTAAAGTAATGCAACTGTTACTTTAGAAACTATTTTTTTTAGATACCAATAAATTTACTTACGTGATAATTGTTTGTAGTACATTTTCAATCTTTTCATGTTCAGTTTTCGGTGCTAATTTTTATTATATTTTTTTTTCCAGGCTTGTCATATAACTCCATCAACATTTGGGGATATAATTTATGAGAACTACTTGTTTGATATATGCAAGCTGCTAGATCTATGCATATTGTACGGTCCCACCAATAGCCCCCTGTTAGCTAAGATGATCACTAACATCTTCACACAGCAACCCAAATATTATGACGACCTTTCACAAACGGTGTCTTCCATAAGTCTTGTAAGTACACTGTGATTTATACTAGTAAAAGAAATGAAGAGAACTCTGTATAATCTATCCATTAATCCTCAGCTCATGTGCAGTGAGACAAATCAAATGAAGGCTTTCATATTTTAAGAACAGTCTGCACATGTTTACTTTGCTCTCACAGCTTCATTCTTAGTTTCATAATACTGTTATATTCATTAGTACTGTACAACTATTTTATTGTTGTGTTTCTGTAATTTTTTCCCTTGCAGGCATTAGAGAAAGTAGAAGATAAATTGGGTGTGGCAGAATACTGTGTTCCTGTTGCTATTGGAGCGCCTGCTGAAAATTTGTCAATGGCAGACCTTCAGGACATCATCCTTTACCTGTTAGATACATTTTCTTCTTTACAAATGCTTATCTCACTCCATCCAGCAGCTGCCAAATATTTTCACAAGGAGTCATTTGAGCTAAGGTGAGTGATTCATATTAAGGTAAATACAGTACATTAGAATCCCAGTTATCCTAGTATTGGGGCCACTGGTAGACACAACTAACCAGCACCAAATTGAAATAATAATAATAATAAAAATTCCTCCTAAATCAGCGAGAATCATAAGTTTGAACACCGCACACAACTGGGATGAGCTTATCATAAAATACAATAGCACATATTTTATATTAAAAAATTGCTACTTCCACGCTCAACCAACCTCTGGGCGATGCGACGCAGTTCAGTCAGTCAACCGGCTGACTCACAGATGTGTGGCTGCCGTGCAGGCTGTGTGTATGTTGTGGCATCACATCGGAAAGGAGCACAGCCACGCAGTTATAGCCCAGTAACCCACCATTTCAGCATACATATACACACCAATGTTCTTAGTTTTTCTTATTTTATGGTTTTATATTGTCTTTATTTCTAAGCCACAATAGAGTATTGTATGATTTTTCCACAACTTTTATAGTTTCATTTTAAATAACAATATATGAGGTGGCAAGGCTGGCGAGTCGGCGACATAAATATAGTCAAGGCCTTGGCCATAACCGCCACCACATGTGCACTTCTCACACATACACACCCATGCTCTTCATTTTTCTTATTTTATAATATTTCTAAGCCACCTTGTTTATATAGAGAGGAGTAAGTGTTAAAGAAATCCTATATCACTATCCATTGTAGGACTTATTGGGAGATCCTTAGAGTGAGTTTATACTGACCGGAAAAACTCTTTATCCGGCACTACTCAATCCCTGTAAGTGCCGGATAACTGGGATTCTACTGTACAGTATTTGGATAAATTGATACAGGGAATTATTTTTTGATTTAGAAGTGACCGCTTCATTAAAATACTTAAGTGATTTTACAAATGGAACATGATATACAAGAGGCTCTTGATATAGAGTGGACTTCAATCTTTGGATGAGGATATGAAAGCTTTCATAGTTAAAAATTTACTCGCCTTGCATTATAATCCACACCTGCAGTTTTATATATTGTACCTCCAGAAGTCTTCATGTTATTTTCACTTGGCTGCAGACCTATTTTTCCATGGCCAACATCCCTTTAAAAAAATTTATGGTATAGTTATGGAACTTCTGTCAGTTCCTTATTTTTTATCTTTTTTGGGGTTTAGATTAGAAACCATCACTTTCGTTTCACTCTTTATTACAATTCAGTTTAAGGATTTACTATACCAAATTATTTGTAGGTATTTTTGAAACATTACTGTTGGTATCATATAAAATTCTTCCTTATTTTTAAACTGATGTTTTTAAAACAGTAGGTCCTTCATTATTTGCCACTACTGTATCTACCAGCCAGTTGCCGCTAAGAATGAGTAGATGAAGAAAGTGACCAAATTTTCTTCCCTCCTCCCAAGGTAGGATTAAAAGATGGCAAGAACTTACAAAATTTCCTCATGAACTTCCTCTCATGGCCTTAAGGAGTTCAAACCACGTGTTCAGTGGGAAGTTACGACCCCAACCTAAAGCCTCCACTCCTTCACATGAGATCAAATTTTCAACTCTGAGCCATATGGGTTAAAAAAAATACAGCGTAGAGCAAAGGCATTACCAAACATTGTCCACCTGGATTGTATATCATGTTGTTGAACTTATTAAGCCTCCTGTAATGGCTGGGCTATACTAGAGGGTGTTCAATGGTTTAGATATCATGGGTCACTTGTTTATTTAATTTAGTCATAAAGTTAAAGTAAGATTTTTGACACCACTGCCTATATATGATGATGATGAACTTTTTTCTCATTCATAACAGATTGTCTTCAATATATGAAAGAGTCATTCCAAGTTTAATGGATATGTTAAGTGAGCGCTGTGATGTCTCTGAGTGGGAGCCTAGGACTATACAGAGAATTCAACTGATTAGATCTTCACTTCTCATAACATTCAGAGCCATCCTTCACCACAAATGCCTTGCTCCTCTCTCTCTGGAAAAGTAAGTCACATGATATGCTTAAAAATTTCTGTTTAAAGTATGTTATGTTTTAGGATAAGAATATTAGGATAAAGCAGTGAATATTATGATTATGTATTTCAGGCCACTACCAACACTTGTCGGGGAATGTGTTGAGAAATTTATGCAGGTGATGTCCACTTGTGTAGGAGAAAAAACATTCATTGCAGACTATTGCTCAGCTTATCCAATCAACACAGATTTAGAATTTTTTAAGGTATGAATACTAATCTGATGATACTTTAGTTTACTTTTCTCTTAGTTATTTTTGTATTATTAGCACTGCACTGAAATAGACAATATTAAATTTCTTATGAGTCATATATTTTCTCTTGCAAGGTTATATCCATGTATTTATATCATGGGAGTTTAGACTTATAGATGTAGACCGAATATTTCCCACTTTATGATTCTGGGTTTATATATAGACGCCTCATATTCCAGCAACACGGTGGGGACATCACAAGTCTCAGCTTCATCAAGGACGCCGTCAACATGGTGCTAAGTGAGATGGGGCTTGCGTCTGGTATGGTGGGTCTCGCTCTGGATGAATTGGAACACAAGAGAGGAATAAAGGTATTGTGTTATAAATCTAAGGCTCTTTTGTACACTAACTTTATACATTTTAAAAACTGGTATTAGTTATGGATGACCCTCAAAACCTAAATCTCAGAGCTTCTGTCGGGTTCTGAAAATTTTTGCTGTAGGTTCAGATTGAGGAGGTCATGCTGTAGTTGGAAGGTACACACAGATTAATTAATTTATTTATTTTTTTTTTATCAGTTGACCTTAAGGAAAACTAAGCAAACAAAATACTTGAATACTCTAGTCTCATTTATTTTGGCTGTCATATTGTTATCAAATCTTCTTGTGTAAATTTTGTGTTGGATTTCCTTCATGTGATAGGTTCTTTATTTATAGACTGTACTCCTTATAAACATAGCTGTGGTGATTTACATTTTGAAGACTTCATTTACATTCAGAAACTTAAGCGTAACAAATTACAGTGCTGTATCATTGATTAGATTTAATGTGTGATTGTGTTAAAGATAATTACAGTATAGCCACAAATCACTTATTTCATCAGTTTCTCTGGGCCAGTGTGGGACAAGGGTTGCAAGAATGAAAAATTAATTGTATAAACACCAGAAACTATCCATTGGTTGTTGGCATGTGGAGATGTTAAAAACTGTGTCATGACTTACAGTTCATATGATACTAATACCGGTAATGGTTTCTATAGAACACACATGATACTCTCGGTACCGGTAATCATCTCGGTGCCTGTCATAGTTAATAAATGTTATGCTGCATCTGAATTCAGTCACTGATGTTGAATTGTGAAATACCTGTATCAGTGTATTTTCTTTTTTTTAATCTGCAAATATGAATGCAATTGAAATATTGTTTACCTTATACAAGCAGCAGGTAATTTATTTTCTTTGTTTACTTACCTGGTAGTTAAAGTTCTTCTGTCATTCTGAGTTTTGGTATTTGAGGTCTAATTCTGTAAGTATTGGGTTCAGGGATATACAGTACTCTACTGTGATCAGGGTTTCTCCACGACCCATGCTCACTTGTGAGAATTTGTGCAGTAATAGAAGAATAGAAAGGAAATAACTATTTGGAAAAAGGATATTCTGTATTGAAAATTATATAAAAAGCAAAAACAATAACTGATTTTTATTTTCAGAATCCAGATGATACCACTGGAATGAATGGATATGCACAAGTTGGAGCAGCAATCCCATCCAGTGTAGAATTAGCTTCTTTAGTGTCCAGTATCCAAGATCTTTTACCAGACCTAGGGGCTGGTTTCATCCAAGAATGCCTTAAGTAATTACTGCTCTCTATTTCCTAATATGAATTATTTGATTACACAAAATTCTTCCTACAATTAATCCTTACATATGAAGATGTGGTATGGTTCCTACAGTGGATGAATATTTCGTCACTCGATCAATTCATCACCAGTCTAAAGATTACCATGTTATATTAATTAAATTTTGATGATAATGTCATTATTTTGGAGGCAATGAAGCCATGGTTCGGTTAGGTTAGGTTATATGTATACTGAACTAGTGACGAAATGTCCCAGAACCAACTCCAACGCCATCACAAATGATAGAATATATACACATCCTAGTCATCCCTACGTACTTGTACCCAGAGTTTACTTGTAGATAATTCCAGGGGCCTTTTCTTACTCCATAACTCAGTCAGTGACCAACATTCCCTGGTTATTGTCTGATCAACCAGATTGTTACTGCTTGCCACCCATAGGCCAACATAAAGACTGAAGCCTGGTTGATCAAGATCCATTTGACAAAACTTATTTATGTTCATTCTTAAGCCAAAGATGTAAATAGACAAGAGGTTTTAAGCTATGAGAAATAAGATATAAAAGAGAATAATAAATTTAGTGAATTGTTGACTATATAATTACTATACATGGAAGAAGGAACAATGAAAGTAAGATATAGAGTATGAAGATATTTCTAAAGATACTGATACGATGAATTTTTAGATGTAGGAATAATACAGAATACAGTATTATGTTTTTTATATCCTTTGGTGTTCCATTTTGTATTCGTCAGGTACTACTGCTATTCAACGGAAGATGTGATTCATGCTTTGTTAGAAGGCAACCTCCCTCCCTCTCTGATTACTCTGGATCGCTCAATGCCTGCTCTGGTTGTAAGAGAACCAACTCCACCACCACCACCACCAGCAGAGGATGATGCCCAGGTACATGGAACATAGAAATATTTGTGTAGTTATCTCAGTTTTAAAAAGCTTCTTATACTGAATTGTCCTAAAGATACATATTAGGCATTAGCACTTTCTTGTCTCTCAGTACTGTACAAGCAAAGGTGTTGACTGCTTGGTGTGTGTGTGTATGTAATGACATCTGTGTAATCAGGTGAACTATAGAGGGAAAAATAATTACCATGAAATGAATTTGACCACTCTTCATAATTACTGTAATCTTACTTGTGTTTGAGCCAACTGGTACTAAACTAATGTATTATACAGTACAGTATCTCAAAAAGTATTTGTCCACACTGTGTGAAACATTATGAGACCACAGGTGGTAGATATTATGACATACATATACTTTGGTATATAATTTAACATAAGTAATGAAATGTGTCTTTATTTTGGCATAATTAATATGATGTTCGGTTACCAAATGTAGTAGAATCTGTATGCCACAGAGCCATGCATACCAACCCTCCCGGGACATCACGAGTTATTTGTAGCATTTCAGAAGTCATCAGACCCATCCTGGCAGATACTTTTTTGAGATACCGTACATGGATTTATAGGAGGTGTCTTTGGATCTTTCAAGCTGTGTAGGACTACAGATAACTATGTTAACCTAATAGAATACTGGGTATGTGTGTTATTTTGCCTTTCTATCTATTGTTTCTGTTAATCTTGTGGTTTTTCACATACAGTATGTTGTATTTTTTAATTTGTCATTTGTGTGAAAATTATTATATAACACATCATTTTTATATCCCCAGGCCAAAACTGTCTGTCAAGTAGACTACATGGATCGAGCGAATGTGTTCAATAATGATGAGTTTGATGTGTTCAGCAGATCTAATGTTGATTGTACTAAGATTCAAAAGGGCAAGAAACCAAAAGTCATTGAAAAGGAAGAACCGGATGTGGAAAGTATAAATAGAGTAAGTTTTTATCCCATAAATATATGTGCATTGTTGTTGGTGCAACAGTAGTGTGAGTATCTCGCATAAATATGTCAAGGGTTCGAGTCCTGCTTGGCCCGGACACTAGGTAAAATGGCGTTATCCAGTTCGACCCTCACTACCAAACATCACAGGTTTCCCATACACCGGTTTCCTCCTCTACTAACATTACACAGACCAACTGCATGAATTGGCTAGTAAGCTGATAAGTGATGCGATGATAAATAATAATAAAAAAATAAATTGTCTTTTAGGGAAATAATTAAGTATGAAGTGCCTTAATTTATACAAGACTATACAAAATACAGAGAGTTGACTGCTTGGCATCATCATTTTTGTTTTGCCTTTACACAATTCTCTTATATCAGTTCTGTCTGTTTTTCAGGCATACTGATATTCAATAAAATATAGGAGGGAACGGTAAAAAGTGACATTTTTATATTGGTGTTCCTTTTAGTTGATCCTATGGGTGGACCCTGAGAAAAAAGTGTGATGGGTTTTATTATTATTAAAGGAAAGGTGATTGTCTTGGGAAAATTCATCCCAGGGTGATGTGAATAAACAAAAAATCTATATTTGACCACTTTTTTTTCAGTAAACGCATGAAGGTCCCGTATTTGTTGGTACCTGTATATAACATGAGCTGATGTGCAATACTGTTTAAGATGCACTTGATTTTAGAAGGAAACGTTTAGGGGAAAAAAAATTACAACTGGTCCTGTACTCACCAGATGTGTTGGGAAGTAAGAATGAAGAGTTGTAGGGGCTGTGTGTGTATTAGTTCCAGAGTTTTATTTAATTTTTAATTTTTTAAAAGCTGGACTTGTTTCTGGATCTGAAGGCTGATCAAGAAGCCTTCAAGGTCTCATGGTCTGACTTGAGGCTATATAATACAGTACTGTATATATATATATATATATATATATATATATATATATATATATATATATATATATATATATATATATATATATATATATATATATATATATATATATATATATATATATATATATACCCTGTACACTATACCCAGTATATATTGGTTTTCAGATAAAAGAGATTGCAAGACAGTATGATGAAAGAGGAGGAACAAGTATATATGAAGATGAATTTCGCTACGAAGACGAGAGTTATCGTCCTTGGGATTATGATGATGAGTACGATGACACCTATGATGACAATGAGGCCGGAAACATCGATGACCTTGGAGTTGAGAAACTTCCAAAACGGTAAGAACATGAAATATTTACCATACTGTACCTTTTACAGTTATATTTGAAATGTTGTTTGTGTGTAAGCCTCTTATCTCTCTGAATGATTTATTGTGAAACTTTGACAATTTTAATTAAGGGAAAAATGCACTTTTTTTATATTATCAGTTAATATAATACTAAGATGATGTACACCGGCTCCCACATGTGTGGAAAATTGCCATAAAACAGTGGTGGTGTTTCATCATTATGGAAGAATGGCAATATGTTTAATACCTAATAGATTATGTTTTTCATATCCTTTATTTATTTTTATTTTTTCAGGCGCCCAGGAATTATTGGAGCTGGTCGGTTGAACACTCAAATAGACTATGGATATGCAGGTGAATCAGCGGAAGAAGATTCTGATAAAGAACAAGAAGAAGGTAGTAATGAAACTGGACAAGACAAAGAAGATAGTTCCCAAAAGAGGTGAGGGTTTTTCTAGGGCCAAGTAAGTCTTCATGTTTCACCATTTAGACTTATTTGATGATAGTTGAGATGATAGCTATAGGAAGTGAAAAGAGCTGGTGATTCAAAGGCCGGTTATAGTTATTCTTCATTTGTGTTGTGTTGAGTTGTACTTCTAAGACACCTGGGATGGTTATATTTGCTTACATCATGTATCAAGATATGTACAGTACCGATGAAAAATTAACCAAAGTTTGAAAGGGGATTAATTTAGTTTTTTCACTCAAGTCGAACAACCTGTAAACCCTGATTCAACTGAGTAAGAAAGCTGTTGCAGCAAAGAGTTTTGTACCTCTTGATGGTGTACTATATCTTGCCATTGAATATGCAAAGGCCCACTGTTAGAGGATGTAATACCAGTATGGTTTCTTGCTTCAAATTTTATTGCTTTATACATCATATTTATTCTTTCTATTTCTCAAGTATGATATATATTTTTTCCCATACAGTTCTAAAGAAGCTAGTGTGAGACCTAAGAATAGAAGTAGCACAAGAGGTGTCCAAAGAGTATTTAGTACGTCTAGTAAACCTAAACAGAACACAACTACCCCTGAAAGAGTAAGCAGTGATGATGTCCGTAAGGCTTACAGTTCATCACCTAATGCTGATTTAAAGCCTTCCAATGGACCTTCCAAAACTAGTTTTAGATCTTTCTGTGAAGATCCAGAAGTAGTTCGACAAAGAGCTGAACAGAGGAGACAGGACAAGATTGCATATCGTAACAGAGGGTGAGTAAATACAGGAATTGAATTCTGAGTGGCACAAAATATGAAGCCAGACTCTACCTAGTCCATCTGACTCTGCATCTCAGGCCACTTAATTGTAGTTTAATTTTGGGTCACTGGCTGAGACACAGATGTCAACAATGTAATTTTGGTGTCTAAACTGTCTTTAGTTTCCATGTACAGTTGAACATAATGAATAGGTACTTTACCTTTTTGGGTCAATGAGTCAGAGTAATTGATGCTGGAAATATTTTTTTATTTTTAAGCCAACTTGCCATGCAAATAATAGTAGATGCAAACATTTAATAGATTTCTTATTTACCCCATTCACTGGATGATGATGCAGGTTGTATTGCTTTGAGCCTGACAGTTCCACACAATAACTAAAATTTTTTGTAATGTACAGTATTACAATTAGAATTACTATTACACAAATTTTTCATACACATCACTGACCCTTCTTGATTTTGGTGTTGAAATGTAAAGGTTGTTGATCTTTCAGTAAAGTAGTTTCCATGCAGTGCCAAAAGATCTATTAACCACACTGTAGCCAACTTTCATATAAAAGTTGTATGGATGAGTTGATGAATATTATTGGCTGTGGTCTTAGTCAGGGATTAATCAATCCAATGATATTTTATTTTATTTTATTTTATTTTTTTTTTATTTCTTATTTCATTTTCCAGGTACAGAGGAGGAGGTGGTGGAGACCAAGGTAGAAGAGAAGAGAATTTAAGTAATGGGATTGATGGAGAGAGATATGGTTCAAGGCCTAAAGTCTCCCAAAGCTCTAATAAGAACAGTGGGAAAGGTTGGCGCCAAGGTCAGAACAGGGAAGATGACAGCAGAGGATACCAAGGAGGCAAATGTAAGTCAAAAGTTAACCATCACTTCGTAGCCAAGACCATGTGTGGATTACAATTTACTGCATATGCAAGCCCTTTAGTGCTATGGTGTTTGGTGTCGAGATTCTCTTTCTCAGAACAACACAGATTCTCCCTCATTTACTATTATTCATTCCAGCTGCCTTACTGGATGTGTTATGCTATGATCTACTATGCATACTTTCTCATATATTACAGTGAAGACAATGGTACTTGTGATTAGTGATGGCAAGATTGAGAAAAAATGCTTTGCAGGAACAAATGGAGGCACTGTGGAGATCACTTGAGGAAGATCTCACATGTATAGTTCATTTTCAGTTCATTATACTGTAGTTTATCTCATACATGTGCAATTTTAATGATTTGACAAAGCCTGCAGTTGGTAGTGCACTCATGAAAACACTTACATATATTTCAGGACAGATTTTATCGAGATAATGCATGATATATCTTGACTTAATTTCACCAGTAATTTTATCCAGTAAATGCAAAAACTTTTCTGTAGTTTAAAGCAGGAGTATTGATGTTCTGCAATATTTACACTAACATCAAGAGATCAGAGCATATTTTATGAATTACCTTTCTCAACATAGGGTGTCGGTAAGTGTCATAATTCTGTATTTTGTTGATTGTTTCTGATACAGAAGGACATAGCTGAATAAGATGATTGTACAGATCAGAATAACTTGATCTTTACTTGGAAATAACTCACCATTGAGAAATTTGAGGTGGCAGTGTTTTTAAGTCTTGTTCTTAATTTGCAGATAAAGAAGATACCAATCATGGCAAAGCACAAAGTCAACAGTACCGTCATAAGATGACGCACAAGAATGAGAATAAACGGCAGGGAGCTCAGGCTAAGTTTAATAGAAATAATTGAGGAAGGTATACAGTAGATAATTCAGTGATATCAGATTTTTTTCTTATCCTCTGAGAAATAATTAAATTTTCAGTTTGTTTTTTACCTTTTGAAAAAGGTAGTGATTATGTAATATTTATATACTTATATTTTTCTCTTGATACATATTTATCAGCCAATATCAAGCAGATGTTGTAAAGAGTTTAACAGATGAAAGGAAATTAAGATAATTTTAAGGAAAAATAATAAATTTTGTTACTTTACTATATTATTTTTACTAAGAATCCACAATGAAAGTTGTCACCCATTAAGCCTTGTCTGTTTTTTTTCTACTAGGACACATGCTTGATACACAGCCAGCAGCAGCTATGTGATTGTAATTTTGTTTACTTCTTAAGATTCTGCATTGTATTGTAAATTGCTATAAGAAAAAAAATTCCTAGGAATTTCTTTAAGAAGTAAAAAGTGCCTATGAAACCCTTGAAGTCACAAACAGTGTATATTTTATCGATCATGGTTGATATTAGCATCTACTGTATTTAAGAACTTTGTCGGTCATTCTGTGTGGTCAGGTTGGGGAGGGGGCTAAGGGGCAGCTTTGGTTAGGTAGGTTAAAGCTGAATTGGCTTATAAGCATGTAAGAAATATTGTTGTAGGAAGAGAAAAAACTAAATTTGAACAAGAATTATCAGTCCTATACATTAGTGCAGGTTTTATTACTCGAGGGGTGATTAGGGCAGTTGGGAGTAATTTCATTTAGTGCTTATAAATATTTTTTATTGAGAGAAATATTAGCCATGTACTGCTTTCAGATTTGACTGGTTAGATGAGATGAGGTAATTTTGGGTTGCACAGTATATCATGTACAAGGCAATTACATATATTTATTTAGAAGTGAAGAGAGTAGACTAAAATGAAGGAATTGTTGATTATCTTAGGGTATCAGTATGTATGTTTAAAGTCAGATGAGGTTGGTTATATCAGGGAAGGTTTAACTGGATTGGATTTGTATTTTGGCAACCTTAAATACAGTACAGTATTTGTCTTGGAAAGAGAAACTCATGTGAACCTTTGTTGAGAGAGTTACACTTGTCTCTGGCTTGGTTATCTGGGTGATGCTGAAATTGGTTAGGTTTGATTACTTTTAATTAGATTAGATTTGCTTAAGTCTAAAAATCATTGATTTGGAAATAAAAAGTACACTAATAATACTGTACCTTTATCTTATTAAGGTAATTCAATTTCGTATTTGGGTGAATTTGGCAAGGTTAGGTTAAATTAACTCCAATTAAATTTGTTTTTATAAATTCTTGAAATTGTTGCACATAAAATTGTTTTATAAATTCCTAAAATTGTTGCACTTAGAAAGAAAATTAGTTGAATTTAATATTAAAAGAATTTTCTCTGTTTTACAGTACTTATTGCATATTTTTCTTTGAGAGTGAGATGCAGTTAAGTGATGTGTATTTAAGTTAAATCTAGATGGTAACCTTGTTAATTTTGGGGGCTGTAGGGAAAAGACAAGTGCCCTACTAGAACACCCCTTAGCACAGCCTGTCTGTTTCAGGGGCTACCATATTCTAAAAGCAAGGGCAAAGTCTTTCTCATTACTTTTGACAGCCGTATTGGGTTTACTCCATTCTGTGAAAGTGTATTTGTGAATCTGTTCAGGCTTGCTTGATAGTTGGAAGAGGGTCATTTCGTAGCTTGAAATTAATGTTTTTGGGTGAGGAGTTCAAGACAAGATGTACTGGTTCTAGGGTTGATACCCAGTTTACCCCAGGCTCACTTAATTTCTTTTAAACTACAGTACAGGTACAGTACTGCCAAATGAAGATTAAACCTCCTATCTCATTAAATCAAGTTAATTAAGCAAATAGTTGTTTATTCCTTAATTATTTTACATTGATCTGATAGAATAGGGTCACTGCCTCCAAAAACACAGTTAGCCCCCAGGGACAAGGCAAGATGTCAGGGAATGTTCTAGGTGGTAGATTTTGTATGTCACTTGTCTCTTTTCCCTCAGACCTAAAATGGGATTTCTTGCTTCACTTCCTGATTTTTTTTATGATGAAAGTTTATGAGGTAAGGTTTTATCTCACATTTTCCAGTGACTCACTTGTTTCAGTTTGGTGTATGGTTGGTTTGGTTAGGTTTTGAATCTCGTGAATTTGATAACCATGTTTTTAAATAAGTTAAAGAAACCTAATTATTGAATTTTTATTAATTGTGAAAATATGGACAAACACACTTGATGTCTAATGAGGGTTAAGGTAAAGATTATATACTGTACTGTTCTATCAAACAGTAACTGACAAAGGCCTATGCAGTGAAATTGTATGATTAAGTTGAAAAGGAGAATGTGGGATTAATTGAAATTTATAATTATTACTGAGGAGGATAGAAGAAGCCCAAAAATGTAATAGACAAACAAGGGTGAATTAAAATGTATGTGAAAGAAGACGTGCAAGGAAATGTTTAAGAGACCATATCTGTGGAAGGTGTTTTATGCCCATATGCTTTCAGTACAAGAAAAATTGGTGATACTGATAATGTTGCTTTGAAGTGTGGATGTGGCCGGATACCCTGAATTGTCACTGTAAAGGAAGGAAAATGAGAAATATCATTTCTCTAAAAATTTTCTTTTCTTGTTTCTAATTCCATTTATGTGCATTTAGTTTATATAATTTTGTGATATTCTGTCGGAGAAGTGTTGAAGAGAATATATCCAGCAAACAAGCAGCCCACATAGGTTAGGTGGTTTTGTGTTTGTGCATTTTCACAGATTGATGAAATCTTACTAATTACTGTATAAACATTTAAAGGCAGCTTTGACCCAAAAGTTGAATTTTAGTAGTAACAAAGTAAGGAAGTTCTTAGGTGCCTTGGTGATTGTTTTTGTTACCTATGGGCCATCTGTAAATGACTTAAAAGAATGCTACCACTAAGTAAGCACCTCAGAAAGGGAGAATGCTTGTGACATGGAAATCCTCCCACCTTTAGTACAGGGTTGTAAACTGACAAGAACTGAGGAGATAAGAGGTTAAACTTCTTTTTATAGCTATAGGGGGTTTTGAAGCTAGAGAGCCAACAACCTATTTGACATGAATCCTCACTGGGCATAGAGCCAACCATTGATTCATGATATTCTGAGGGTCTTGAACTTCAGTAGACAAGAGGTGCCAGTTTACAAAAAAAATAATTCAATAATTATCCAACCTTGTCTACCTGTGTACCTTGTCATTAATTACATGTACTGTACTCTGTAAACAACATAGAGCAAGGGTTTAGGTGTAGTATTTTCACACGTCACTTGCTTTCTCCCCTCAATCATAAACTGAAATGTCATACTTTAATCTATCATTTATTTATGTAACTTTTAATGCATCCAATAGTGGTTTACACATACTTCATTAACAGCTGTTCCTCCCAAGTTCTTATAACGATATCTTGACCCCTAGACTGGATAGTATTTTGGTGGCAAAAAGACAAAGATCATTGGATTTCTGAAAAGTGCTTTAGCAGCTACAGTATTGTTGACGGTGAGCTCTCGTGTTCACCTTACTTCAAGTTATGTGCATTAAATAATCTGTACCAAACCTTAACTATTGGAAAACAATGTAAGAAATGCTTAACAATATCACTATGCAGTTCAGCTTGCATTTTTGGACTAGTTATCAATCAAATAGATAAGAAACAAACCACATTTATATATATATATATATATATATATATATATATATATATATATATATATATATATATATATATATATAACACACACACACACACACACACACACAGTTGTACCCTGCTTTACGCGGTTTCACTTAACGCGATTTCTCATATACGCGGTGCCTCGCCAGAACCGAACTTTCACTTAATGCGGTTCATCTACCCATATACACGCGGCTGAGACGGCTCGCGCGCGCTGCCTGCCTTGCCTCTCCCTCCTCCTCCCTCCCTCCCGCCTCCCTCCGCCTGGGCAAGCCGCGCTGTAAGGTTGTGCACTGTGTCTCTTCTACTAACGTAAGTGTTACACCTAACTTTTAGTTTTCCTAACCTAACCTTTATTTTTCCTAACATAACCTTTATTTTTCCTAACCTAACCTCTTCTATATTACTTGTTTGTTCATACCATCATAAAGTTAAGATAAAATTTTTACTACAACATAGTTGTGTATCGTCAAAAAGTGGAGTTTGGGGGTCGGGCCAGTCTCTATTGGAATTAATCCCATATGTTCTGTTGTTCCATTTACGCGGATTTCACTTAACGCGGTACCCTGTGGGTTCAATTGACCGCGTAAATCGGGGTACAACTGTTTATATATACAGTATATATGTACCTGTTAAGGTTAAGTCATTGATATGCAATATTTGATAAAGCCAACAGTTTAGCATATTTACTGTTTTACAGCAGTATGAAGTGGAAGCTGTTGATAAAAATTGGCTGCCAATAAATTCACAAGTCATATTAAAATATCTGGACATTGTTTTACATGGGGCATTTCTTTAGAAGCAGCAGTGCCTGTGTAAATAATTGCCAACTGTATGAATGACAACCAGCTTTTTCCAGAACCCTGTAAAAAGTCTGGCTAGTGTTTACTATGCTAGTTCACAACATATAACTGTGATAAAACCTGATTTCTGATTGCTGACAACTTTTCATGACAGTACAGTATATTTAGTACATCAGAGGAGTTATTTCCTATAGTTAAAGCAAGTGATCAGGTTAGGTGTTTTCATATTCCATAGATGTGTCACATACTGTAGAATACTTTATTGAAACATTATATGCTGTATGACTTTTTAGATTGATACACAATATCTGGATCATAACATACAGTATATGCATCCTTCGTGGTAACATGTCGACTCTAAATTTTGTATAAAGCAAATAACTTTTGAGTGGCTGAAAGGAAAGCAGCTAAAAATATATCTTCACAAATGTATATTACAATGCATCTTCATGTATGTTTGTCATCCATACTTCATTTTTCATTAAATGAAATAGAACATACAGTATATATTCCCTTAACACATTTCTTGTATCTAATATACTATAGGACTAGGCGTGTGTCTGTCTGTCTGTTTTGGGCAGCCTAAACGGCACAATCGTTTTTCATCAAACATGGAAAAATCGCAAAAATATTCGTAGAGTGGAACAAACCTGGTCCCATGTCGATGGTTTCTTTAGGAAGGCATTAATTAACCATTATATTTACGATGGAAAACGATGCAAGTCTACGGACTTGGCGCACCCTCATTCGCTGTACGCTAGCCAAGCACGAGCGTTCAAACTTTCACTGGGCACGAATGTGCCCACGATCACTTATGTGATAACTTATGCCATGTACAGTACAGTATATTATTTCCATTTTTTAAACAATATATTTCCAATATTCTTGTTTTTCATCCATGCATTAGCTTCATTGATCTTGTATAAATTGTCAGTACATTACCATTTATAGCTGTCAAGATATTTAAGGGTAAAAACAAATAATGGTTTTGAAAAGGTTATTTTTGTTATGTATTCATTGAGTGATATTCAGATTACAAAGTGCTTCATATTTTATTATCCTGGATAAAGTTTTAAACACCTTTCCAAAGAAGGTCCTCACCTGTAAGGCAGAAAAGTTGCCCCGGTCAAAAAACTAAACAAAACCCACAATACATAAATAATATTTAATTTCCCAAGAAGCTGTTTAAAAAGTTTTTAACAAATGCATACACTAGACAAAAGAGATATGGTGGACTAATCTTGAAATACCATATTGTAACTAAGGTCAGACTGATGGACTTAACTGGTTGCCTCACATCCAGGAAGGCCAGCAGGTTATAAGAAATAATCTAACAGCTAAGAGTCTGTTTTACATTGGAATAACTTCATCACTGCAGGGAAGCCACTTTTAATATTTAGTTGGGTAATGCCTTATTATTTTATTTAACAGAGAGTACCCTGTAAGCAAATGATTAATATCTAAGTAAGGATTTAAAGAATGACTTAAATAAGCTCTTGATGGAATATTAGTTCTTAACTAATTTTAAATTTAAATTTTTCAAATTCTTAAACTAGTAATTGCATCTTACTCATTCCATGTGTACAGTAGTAACAAATGTCATAACATCTTGCAGCCGTAACACGATACTGTACATACTTCATGTAGTTTAGCCAACCAGTCGGATGCATTCTAGCCCTGATTGTAAACTGAGTAGATGCTTTTGTTTTTTATTTTCCTCATAAATTGTTAGTCAGAAACAATCGTGTTATACATTGAACTTAAATGCATTCTTGATTTGATTTTAAACTAACTTTACACATTCTTGTGTTTTTATTTTATTAGCAAACTAATAAAATGCATTCTTGTCTTATTTTCATCGTAAACAAGGCAGAAGCATATTACTACAGTATATATATATAACTTAACCTTATGTAATGATACAGTCACTACATCCATCCAGTTGTTGGTACACTGCTGTGCTCTGGGTCATAATGCTTGATACAGATACTGCATATACTGTATACAGTACAGGTATATTTATTATGCCAAAACCTCCTTTTTATGTTCTGAGAATTTAATTGTGCACATACTGTAAGTTTCATTTTCACTCCACTTCTTTTTTTCTTCTTAGCATCCTCTTAGTTTTATTGAAGGATGTTTCAGTTTTCTTGCGTCATTCATTTTGCATATTTTTCATGATACACAAAAACAATCATCCCAGGTGATTTCAGAGTGCTTTTTTTCAATCGTATTTCTACACCAACCTTCCACTTATATATATATATATATATATATATATATATATATATATATATATATATATATATATATATATATATATATATATATATATATATATATATATATATATATATATATATATATATATATATATATATATATATATATATATATATATATATATATATATATATATATATATATATATATATATATATATATACATATATATATATATATATATACATATATATACATATATATATATACATATATATACATATATATATATACATATATATACATATACAGTATATATATGTTGGATGCTATACTGTAGTAACTTGTTACTGTTAAGCTTTCTTAGTCTTGGGTACACCATAAGATACAAGGGAAAATGTGGCCTTAACTGTGCTTTGGATGATGGTGGGTGTGTGGGCATGCACCTCCTGCCTCCCAAGAGCTGTGTCCACCATCCAAGAATTTGTTCTGTCTGCACAATGATAAATGGAAAAAAAATTATCAACCCTGTGTATAGATATACTGTACTGAATGCATCTGTATATCACATAATTGGCTGTACGATAATCTATGTCCAAACTTGATATTGTACATGGATTGATGAGAACATTCACTAGCCATGTGCAAAGGAATAGGAGGTTAAGCTCTACAAAATTAGTTCTGAGTGTTTATAATGTAGAGTATGTACACCAAACCCATGGTGTACCATTTTTAAGGTAAAAAAAAATTCCCACTTCTGCTCATAGTTATCCTTGTAGCCAGGTCGACTTATAAGTGTTTGGGTGGTTGGTCATTTCTCTGTTAAACACTACAGTAGTATTATCAAATACAGTACTGTACAGTAATGAAAATGTACCTGAACTTGCACCAATGTAGTGGATTTTTACCTTGTAGCTGTGATCTTAGTGAAGCAGGCATCTGCCAGCGTTCCTAATATGAACACTTGACTGAGTAATGTCTTTTGAGGTGCTTATAAACTTTTATTAAATCACCTCTTGACCATCAATAGCATAAACTCTTAGACATAAAACAAAAAAACTTGTAAGGCTGAATTAATCACCCATGTGGCTCTTAAAACCTATCTCGATTAACCCTTTCACGGTGTTTCACGCACTTGCCTTTTAATTCTGGGTAGTGGCTACCGCCAGATGATTTTATTTAGATTAGGGTGAACTCCCACTGCGAAAGGGTTAAACACATGTACAAGCTGCTGTTCACCCCTAACTCACTTATTACACGTACAGTATAAAACTTTAAATATGCTCCTGAATTGGCCCATAATACACTAATACACAAATCTATGAACTTCTATAAGTTCAGTAAATCTATTCCTGGGATGCCCCTCCTATCTACTTTAATCATAGCTACCTTCAGTGATGGCGACGTGTGTGCAGGAGTCCTCTTTAACAGTGAGACATGGCCCTAATGTGCCGCCCACTGCGACCGCCATGTCTGCTGCCCGCTGTCTTGCTTCCTCTGCTGCTCGCCGTCCCGCCCTCACCCGAGCCTCTGATAACGACACCCACGAGTGACGGTACACCAACTGTACATAATAAGAAATTCGATTAAGTTCACCTACAGATGTTTCTTATCAACATTATACCGTATGTACAGTAAATTGGTTGGTGTATTTTTGGGACAATTCTAAGACACAATGTCGATATGGCAAAATGTCGGAATCCGCATATAGTTTCCTGGCTACAACACTTTAAAGGTGTTGAGTTTATAAGGGTGGAGTGAAACATATGTAGATTTTTTTTGTAATTTTATGCACACAACTATAAAATGTGATACTTGCATTATTACAGTAAATATTCAAAACTCCCTCCCTTGTCTCAATGCAGGTCTCGACACATCGCACCATAAAATTAAATAACAATCTACAGATGTTTCATTCCACCCTCACTATCATTACCTCAACGTCTTTCTAGTGCTGTAGCTAGGAAACTACAGTATATACGGATTCCTACATGTTTGCCATATC